AAAACAGCATTATAGGAGGAAGCTAAGACACTGGTGTCCATTTTGTGTGAATGAGGTCTAAAGTCTTTTTCTTCTTTAGAATTATTTCATGTCATACAATTCTTCATACGTAAAATATCTCAATTCAAAAACAGCCTCACATAGGTTAATGGTCAATATGCTTGGTTTAAAAATCATTCAGAATACTCTCGTCTTTTCTCCATCTAAAATGTACCTATCACAGACATAAAACCTTTCACTAATTTTTCTTATAAGACACAATTTGATTAATTGTTATAAATTGTAAAATTCCTTAAAGAACAGAATCCCAGCATGGTGAGGGAAAACAGAAAGAAAGCAAGCCATGTTAGAGATGATGATACTAAATGCAATATAGTATCCTAGGCTGGATCCTGAAACAGAAAAGGGACATTAATGGAAAAACTGGTGAAATCCAAATAATGTCTACAATTCATTACTAGTACTGTACTGATGTTAATTTCTTCATTTTGACAAATGCACCACGGTTATGTAAGATTTTAATATTAGAGGAAGCTGGGCAAACGGTATATAAGAACCCTCTATACTATTTTTGTAACTTTTTTGTAAACCTAAAATTATTCCAAAATACAAAGTTTTCAAGATGACAACTATGGTGCTTGGATCTGTTTAGTTTATGTCTAGACAACTTTCAGGGAGTGAGGAGGATTAGGAAAACAGCCACATACGTGATTCAAGTTTCTCAAATTTGTGACTAATATTCCTGCCTATTCTCAGGGCAGTTGGCACTCAGGTTTCTATTTGGTTTGTACAAAGCTCTACAAATAGGACTTTTTTTTTTTCCCCTTAAAATCTCAAAAGGAAATGGCTTGCTTTCCCCTAGGTTTTCTTTTCTTTCTCATTATAACACAAAGCAACAGAGACTAGCACCAACGGTACAAGTTATAAAACATGCAACCCTTCAGGTTCTCATGATAAAGGAAGGAAAGGAAGTGTGAACTATTTTACAATTCCAGCAAAGAAAGCACTTAATCAACTTTTAAGGGGACACGGAGAGGAACCAGAGGAATCAGAATCAGTAACTATTCCACTGTGGTTTGGTAAAATTCACCTGTAATGCTAAAGAAGTCAACAGTATAGTAGAATCTACAGAATATTTGTTGTAATCTGTGCTTTTCCATACCATTACTCTATGCTATCCTAGTGTTACTACCCCGGTGTCCCAGATGTCCTAGCCCGCCGACAAAATAATTCTCTGTCCTCCCCAGCTTTGCACAGAGACACAGGAAAACCATTTGATTTAACTTAGATAAAATAACAGAAAGACGCAATCAATCTTCTCTCAAAGAAACATTTCTGCTTGTTTACCAATTACCTAACTATGAAAATTATCTGAGTGCAGAGAATAGGAAAAATCAAATAAAAGTTGTTTTGTGATATATGTTAGTGTAGTAAACATCCTTAGTTTGGACTAAGAAAAGTTTGGATTAAAAAGTACTTTAAGGGCTTCCCTGGTGGCGCAGTGGTTAAGAATCTGCCTGCCAATGCAGGGGACACAGGTTCAAGTCCTGGGCCGGGAAGATCCCACATGCCGCAGAGCAAATAAGCCCCGTGTGCCACAACTACTGAGCCTGTGCTCTAGAGCCCGTGGGCCACAACTACTGGGGCCGCATGCCACAACTACTGAATCCCGTGCACCTAGAGCCCGTGCTCTGCAACAAGAGAAGCCACTGCAATGAGAAGTCCACGCACAGCAATGAAGAGTAGCCCCCACTCGCCACAACTAGAGAAAGCCCGTACGCAGCAATGAAGCCCCGGTGCAGCCAAAAATAAAAAAAAATTTAAAAAATTTAAAAAAATTAAAAAAAAAAAAAGTACTTTAAGACAAATTCTGCCTATCATCAAAAACAGAATATTACTGAAATCATTTATTCAACATTCCGTTGAAAAAGAAATTTACAACCATTAACACTCTTTTTTGCAAAGTGTTGAGAAGAGGTAGGAAGACAAGTACTCTCAATCCTGTTGATGAAAATTTAAATTAGTACTGCCTTTCAGGAGGGCAATTTGGCTTTTTTTACCATTTTCTCCTTTTCAAAAACTCTTTCCTTGGCTTCTGTTATGGGTTCCTCTCTTCATTTTCCTTTTACCTTTCTTGTCTCCTCTGCTGATTTTTAACTGCTGTTAGGCTTTGGAGTTCTGGCCAAGCCATTTTCTTTTTAAGGAATTATACTTTCTCCCCAGATATTCTAGTCTGTGGCTTGGACTGTCCTCTATAATGCTGATAACTTCCAAGTAAACATTTACCAATCTTCTTTGCTAACTGCCCCTAGACTAGGATCAATCCCCTGACTAAAAGCTCAGGGTCATTCTGTACTTACCTTTTCACAACAATTCTAATGCTTGTAATTGTTCATTATCCCCAAGCTAGACTTGAACTTCCTTGAAGGCAAAAGCTGTGTTTTGTTCATTTCTAATCATTCATTTAATATTTAAGTTCTCACTATGTGCTTGGCACTGAACTAGGTCTTGACAACACAGCAGTAAACAAAAAGACTCTGCCCTCTTAGAGTTTATATTCTAATGGGATAAGAGAGACATTAAGTAATAAATATATACCAATTTGTAACAAGTGCTATTAAATAAAGGAGGGTAGGAGGGCTAGGAAGTATTGTAGGAGCTGGGAAGTTGCTATTTTACAGTGGTTATCAAGGAAAGCCTCACATATAACTGAAACCTGAAATAAGTGCAGCATGTTAAGTCACACATATATCTGGAGGGGAGGAGTCATCCACAAGGAGAATAGCAAGTGCAAAGGCCCTGAGGCAGGAACATAGTTATTGTGTGGGGAAAACTGTAAGAAGGCAAATGGAGTGGGGGGGAGGGTAAACACATGGGAAGGGAGGCTCTGAGCTGAGTGCCATGATCTGACTTTTGTTTTAAGGAATCACTCAGACATCTTTATGAATAGAGAATAAAGAATGGAAGCACTGACCCTCATTAGAACACTGCAACAACCCAAGAGAAACATAATGATGGCTTGAACCAAGGGAGTGGTGATGATGATTAGCTGGATTCTAGTTAGGTTTCGAAGATAGAACCCACAAGATTTGCTGATGAACCGGATGTGAAGAGAGAGGAAGAATCAACGAGAGCTTTTCAAAGGTTTAGGAAGAACAGAGTTGCCATTAACGTAAACAAGAAAGTCAGAGAAGCAATTTTATTTTCCCAGAACCCAGCAAATTGCCCAGCACACAGTAGACATTCAAATATTTATTTGTGAATTAAATTTAACTGAATAAACTCCCAAATGAAGCAGTGAACTCAGCGCTTTCCATGTGCTCTAACAGTGCCTTAATAACACCAAGAGTCTTAGCCAAGAACCAGCTTCAGTTTTAAATTTACAATTCTCCTGGATATAAAAGAAAACTGCTGTAAAGAGCTCTGTGACAGCCTGAGGATTCTTACACCCAAAGTAATTAACCTGTTCATTAATTATGTCATATTCCTGGAAGATAGAGAAGTGCAAATAGAACTAACTCCCTGGGCCAGAATTCATGGAAAATTATAACACTTCGTGATAAATTTTCAGAAAGTGACAAGACTGAACAAGTCCCCTAAAGAAATAAGCCATCAGTTACTCAGTATTTTTTTTAAAACGGCTTTTTTACCTCTAGCAGCAGGTCCCTCCCAAACGATTTCAATGAAAAATTAAAAGTTGTTGAGAACGTGAAATTTAGTACATCTTCCTCCACTTTTTCTGCCAAGTAGTGTAAATGAGCTTCACTTAGGAAAGAAATGGGTATCCTCACCAGATTTTCTAATCCAGCACCCTTACTACAGCTCCACGAAGAACCACAACGTTAGCAGAAATATATTCAAAGGCATTCTCCTAAAATAAAAAGTTACCAATCTTTCCTCCCTTCCGGTTACTTTAAAATTTTAACTGAAGCCTAAGTATCACCTCTCTTCCACATTAGTCTCCCTAATGCCCCACCCTAACCCAATGTGTTTAAAAAATGAAAATGCGCTCACAACTTTCGGTGAAAATATATCTTAGAAACCTAGATCGTTCGGAGAAACTGATCGTACTGAATTCATCAACAGGCAGTACTTTCCTTTTTTCCTATCAGTACAAGGCCCTGAACCAACCCAAACAAATCTGCTGAAATGCCAGCCAGATTCCCCGTATCTCCCCCGCTCCCTACTCCCAAAGCTGGCCTGGAAATAAAAGCCACTGACCACGGAGCCGAACAGAAAAGAACCACTGGTAAGCAAAAACAGGATTTTGAGAGGCAGGAAGGGCGAGAGTCAGATTTTCAACCACTACGTCTAAGCGAGTAAGAGCCTGGACTCCCCACAAAATATATTCTGCACCGAGCGGCACACATTCTTCCCTGCGGCTCCAAAAGCTCCGCACCCGGATTAGAGGCGAGGTGTTGGGAGGGTACTCTCCGGAGAGGAAGAGCTAGAACTACCTCGGGGGCAGTGAGTGCCCCAGGGGGGTCCGGCGCCCGAGGAACGGAGCGCAGATAAGCACGCGCGCCAGGGACTGATGCGGCGGCCCTTGGGAGCAGAACGCTCGGCGCCCACCACCAGACGCGGAGGCAGAGAGCCCCACTCGGGCTTCACCCACCCGGGTAGAAAGGCTGGAAAGGGCAGGATCAGGACCCCCGAAGAAGGGGCCTAGGAAGCTACTACTTCCCAGAAAACGGGCTGGGCGCCCGGGGGCGGGAGGTGGACGCTGCTGCTGACTCGCTTCTCCAGTCACCACTGAAATAGGGGAAGCCCTCCAGGGAGAGGACAGTGGGGAGTACGGATGGGGGAGGGGAGCACCAGAGCGAGGGGGGCGGCGGGCCCCTAGGGGACCGGGGCGCGGGATGGTGGGGCGCGCGCACCGGGAGGGGGAAGAGGGCGCACCCCCGGCCCGGAGCCAGGGAGGCGCGACCGCCCGCCGGACTCGGGAAACCCGGCCCGCCAGAAGGGTATGGGGCCGCCCTCCTCCCCGCCCCCACACTCACCATGTAGAGGGTGAAGGGCAGGCCGAGCAGAAAGAGCCACAGGTAGAGGTGCAGCGCGTTCACGAAGGTGGCCTGGTGCGGGTCGTAGTACCAGCCCCCGCTGAGCGCGGCCCACACCCCCTGCCGGAGGATCTGCAGCGTCTGCGACCCCATCCCCACCCGGCGCCGCCGCCGCCGCCGCCGCCCCCGCCGGGGCCGCCGCCGCCGCCCCCGCCGCCGCCGCCGCCCCCTGCACCGCCTCCGCCGCCGCCGCGGTATGGCCACTTGGCGCGCTCCAGGCCGTCGTCGCGG